ATCCTGGGGCGGGGCTGTCCCGGATCAGGTCAGAATTCCGGGATTCCCGCAGGATCTGCTCCCCCTCCCAGCCCCGGGGAAGGGGGGTGGTCTCGGGTGTCACTTGGAATTCCGGGAATTCCAGAAAGAGTCTCAGAGCTCGTCGCGGGCGGGGCTGTCCCGGAGCAGGTCGGAGTTCCGGGATTCCCGGGATTCCCGCGGGATCGTGACCCCCCCGGGCCAGGGGGACTCGTCCCAGAGCGTGGGGGTCTCGGTGTCGCTCACGTATCCCGCGTCCCCCGTGTAGTGCGTCGGGAAGAGCAGCAGCGGCTCCGCGGAAAAGGCCACGAGATCCCGGCGGGGGAAGTGCCGGGAATAGTCAGAGCTGGGGGGGAATCAGGGAAACGGGGTGAGAAATCCGAGGAATGAGAGGAAAGGGTGAGAAATACAAAGAAAATGAGGGGGAAAGGGTGAGAAATCCCAGAAAACCACAGAAGAAGTGCTGGGAGAAGTTGGAGGGGAGAGAAAACAGGATCCCGTGTCCCTCCCTTATCCCTCCGTGGAAGGGGTCCCAGTATCCCGGGAGCATCCGGATCCCCATGTCCCTCCCGTGTCCCTGCATCCCACATCCCATGTCCCTGTATCCCGAGTCCCTCACAGCGGGTGCCGGTCGAACATGACGGGCAGGAATTCATCCACCGGGATCATCTTTCCCAGGGGCTCCGCCTCCAGCAGCTTCCTGGCCCCGCTCAGGGACAGGGCGTATCCCAGCGTCCAGTAGGAATATCCCGCCTCCACCAGGTTCCGGACACCGGGAACGGGGCGCTCCGGGCGCTCCGGGTGCAGCCGCTTCCGGCCCAGGTAACTGAGGGAGGAGGAGGAGGAGAGGGATGAGGGGAGGAAGGGTAGGATGGGGATGAGGGGAGGAAAGGTGGGATGGGGATGAGAGGAGGAAAGTGGGATGGGGATGAGGGGCGGAAAGGTGGGATGGGGATGAGGGGGAGGAAGGGTGGGATGAAGATGAGGATGAAGGCCCCAGACTCAGATGAGGTCCCAGGGGTTGGGATGAGGATGAGGAGGGGGACGAAGGCCCCAGACTCACATGAGGTCCCAGGGGTTGGGATGAGGATGAGGAGGGGGACGAAGGCCCCAGACTCACATGAGGTCCCAGGGCGTCCCGGCCTCCTCCAGCTCCTCCATGAGCTCCGTGAGGCGCCGGCGGAAGAAGATCTCGAAGCGCAAATCGTCCTCGAACACCAAGGACTTGCGCAGCCCCCGCGCCGAGATCTGGGAATGATCCCCATCCCGGGAGTCAGCTCAGCTCCCCCCTGCCTGCCCCTCCCAATTCCCTGGATACCCCCAGATCCCAATTCTATGGAGCCCCCCAAGAGCCCTGCTGAGACCCAGGACCCCCCCAGGACCCCCCAGACCCCCCTCACCTCCTGCCAGACGTGGAAGTGGCTGAGGAAGCAGCCCACCTCCCCCCGGGTGAGGGGTCGCCCGTGGAAGGGGTCCCGGTATCCCGGGAGCATCCGGATCCCCAGCGCCTCCACCTCGCTGCTGTTCAGGGCCCTGCGGAGCCAGGGAGGCTTCCAGAGGGGGATCCCTTGGGAAAGATTCCCCCTGGAGATCCCCCGGGAGCCCCAAACTCACCGACCGTCCACGGCCTCCACCAGTTTGCAGGAAATTCCCTGCTCCTGGAGCGTCCGGAGCATCCGCGCCCGGCGGTCGGAGCGGCGCTGCAGGTTGATCAGGAACACCTGGAAGGGGGGGGAACTTGGGAATATCCACCCAAATCCCAATGGGAATGGGAGAATCCACCCAAAATCCACAGGGGAACGGGATAAACCACCCAAAGTCAGGAGGGGAGTGGGATAATCCACCCGAAATCCAGAGGAAAAGTGGGAAAACCACCCAAAATCCAGTGGGGAATGGGGTAATGCAATGAATCCAGAGGGGAGGGGAGCAACATCCAGCAGAAAAGTGGAAAAACAAGCCAAAATTCGGAAGGGAAGGAGGGAAAATGACCCCAAATCCGAAAGGGAAGAGGGATCCCATCCCGGAATCCCGAGGGAATGCCACACTCACCTCATCAAAGCCCATCTTGTCGGAGACCTTGGGGGGCACCCACACGTGGGGGGAGGGCTCGGCCGGAGGGAGCTTCACTGGGAATGGGAGAATCCCACTGGGAATCAACCCCGGAGCCTGGAGGGGACATTCCCAATCCCAAATATCCCCATCCCACCAGGAATGAATCCCTGAGCCTGGGTGGGACATTCCCAATGCCCAATTTCCCATCCCAGGAGTCTGGGGGTGACTCCGTGGGGTTCCCCCATTCCATGCCAGGCTCCCAAGGCCCCGGATCCGTGTGGATCCCGCCCCTCACCCATGATCTCCAGCTGGACGTGCAGGAAGTTGTCGGCCTCGTCCCGCAGGGAGCTGTGGGAGCGCAGCGGGACCGGCAGGAACCCGAACACCTCCCGGTTACTGACGAACATCTGAACCCCTGGAATGGGATCGGGATCAGGAATGGGATTGGGATGGGCTCAGGAACCCAACAAACACCTCCCGGTTACTGACGACCATCTGAACCCCTGGAATGGGATCGGGATCAGGAATGGGAGGGCACCCCAGGAATGGGAATGGGAACAGGGGGTGTCACTCCTGGAATGGGATCAGGAGGTGGATGGGGGGTCACCCCTGGAATGGGAATCAGGGGCTCACGCCAGGAATGGGGATGGGAACAGGAATAGGGGGGCACCCAAAGCCAAAGTTGGTACAAAGCTGAGCCCAGCCCCGAGCTGGGCTCAAGGGACTGGAGTCAAGCACAGCCTGACGTCGAGTCCAGCCCAAATCCACGCAAATCTCACCCCAAATCCACGCAAATCCCACCCTAAACCCACCCCAAAGCCCAGCCCAAAGCCGAGCTGGGCTCAAGGGACTGGAGTCAAGCACAGCCT